AGTTTAATCAAATCTCAGCAATCTGGAATAAGATCCTACAATGAATAACAGAATCCCAGAATAGAATCCAGAATGGACAAAGGACCCTGGAATCCACACGGGGCCGATGCCTCCAATTGTCACAGGGATTCTCTGCTGGCCTGTCACACCCAGGGTGGGGATCCTGGGGATGGAAGAAAGTCCCACTCCGGTGACAAAAGGCAACAGGTCCAGTTCCCACCTCAAGGATGGCAAGGGGTTGGGTGGCCATTTGAGGCAACACTATCTCTTTCTTTGTGAAGGTCTTGAGAGTGAGGGATGAGCCAGATAGGGCAGTAGCCATGCTGCTCATCTGAGCATTCTGGAAAGGGATGAGTTTGAGTTTGTCAGACTGTGAACCTCCCACAACAGGCCCCTCCCTGAACCCTCTTCTGTGTACACAGGGGTATCTGAGGTGGTCCTTTTGCAGAACCCACCCCCACATCTCATGACTTAGTTCAGAGTTAAGCCAGTCCTGGGAATGAGCAGGGGGCCCCTGAGGTGCCAAGTGTCTCAGGATATGGCTCTCGAGGCCTCAGTGTCCTCATCTGTAAAATGGGTTTGTTGTGTGTTTTGAGGGTCCTGTGAGCTGGGACACGCCAGAGGCTGAGCATGCTCTTGGCAAATACACAGCCAAATGAATGAACTCATGGTCCCAGGAGAGTTGAGCTGTGGGACTCTGGCCAGTCACGTCTCTTCCCAAGCTCGTGTTCTCCTGTGAAACGGGGACAGCTCAGACATGCCTGGCACAAGCTCTTGGGTTACTTCCCGTGCCGGGCACTCTGCCCAGCATGCCTGCCCCACTCTTGCCTGTGGGACAGGAGTCTGGAAACTATAGGTCTTGTCTTGTCTCACTTCATTTGCCACTTGTGGACCCTATGCTGGGTCTTTCTCAGAAGGAGGTCTTAGAGCCCCTTACCCCAGCCCTGACCCTGGGAACCCCTCCAAAAGAGGAAAGGAATGTGTGCTAAGGTGGGGGGAGATGCTGTCATCAAGGCAATGACTGGGCAAAGCAACGAAGCAGGGAGGATGGAGGGGAAGGCTTCGGGGGGAGGTTACATTCCAAGGGGCTTGTTGGGCAAGGATGGGGTGCACAGGGGTCTGTTCCAGTCCATTGTCCTCAGGGTGGGGGAGGAGAAAGGGGCAGGAATGGTTGGGACAGAGCAACCAAGTTGCCTTGGATGCCAGGATGAGGAGTTGGCACTCCACCCCAAGGGCAAAAGGGAGCCATGGCAGAATCTAGAACAGGAGAGGGGCTTGGGTGGGAGAGGGAGAGCATGGAATGCTAGCCCATGCAGCCCAGATAGGGGTTCACCTGCTTCATCCCCCTCTGCACCATCCAGAAATAAACCAGTCAGGGCTTTCTCTGGGCCCCCACACCTTCAAAATGCACAGCTTTGCAAACCCAGGAGAATATTTGGGGCCCCAGCCTGTCTACCAAAGGATCTTCCTGCAGTCCTTCCCCCAAATGGCATCAGTTTCCCCATCTCTCATATACATAATAAAGGACCCTATTTTCCCAACTGTGTATGACTTGGTTGTAGTCATTTAGCAAGAGCTGGGTGGCAGAGCAAGGACTGGGTTCCAGTCACTTAATGTGTGCCTGCCCAGAGCCCTAGTCCACCTGATCCTTGGCTGAAGGGATGGATGGGTTCTCAGAGACCCCCACTCCCCCTGAGAAAACTGGCAGGAGATCTGGTCTCTGCTTCTGATTTTCTCCTCTCCCTTTTTGATTTGCCCATCTGTAAAAGGGGCACATTTCCATTTCATAAAGTTGTTTGGAAATTAAATGAATCAATGGACATAGGTGTTGCTCCAATTTGTTCCTCACGCGCCCTGCCATGAACTCCTATTCATACTATAAAACCCACTGCAAATTTTCCATCTTCAGTGCATCTCCAGGAAAGTCTTTGGCTCTTCACTGTTCTCTGCTCTAGGCTCTCCCAGCACTTGACCCCATGAGTCTGGAAGTGTCTGCATATCCTTCTGTTTCCCCCACTGCCTGACTAGTGGAATGCTCCCCAAGGTTGCAGAATTACTCAGCTTGAAGCACATGAGAATGTTGTTGAGTAAGTGTAAAGAGGGAGGGAGAGGGCAAGGAAAGGATACAACAGTGGAGAGCCAGGGAAGGTAAAGGAGCGAGGAAGGGCATTCAGCAGAGACCTTGGTGGGACAGATGGAGAGAGGGAGCCGGAAGGAGGTGGGCAGAGCCAGAAGGATGGGCAGGGGCGACAGGAGGGGTGGGGTGAGGGGAGACCCAGCTCTCCCCGGCACGCCTCCTCCTGGCTTGGGCGGGCAGCGCGGGCAGGGCCCGGCCTCTGGCGTGCGGATTGCCTGGGCGTTGGGCGCGGAGAGCGGAGAGCGGAGAGCGAGGCGCGGAGCCCGAGCGTGCGCGCGTGTGCGCGCCTGTGCTCTCAGGGCCAGCCGGGCGGGCGGCGGCACATGGATGCCAGCCTGGCGCGCATCTCTAGGCCGGTGGGTAAGGCGAGGCGCGGGTCTGCGGGATGTGGATGGCCGGGCCTCAGAACCTCGACTTTCTAGTTGGGGACTGGAGAGGAAGGGGATGCCCACCAGGCTTCTTAGAGCCAGGCCAGGACCCCTTCCCTCCCGCTGAGCTGACCCAGGAGGGGGAAGGGGCCTCCTAGTAGCAGGCGGAAGGTCCCAGGCTCTGCAGCAGGTGGGGGAGATGGGAAGCAGGTACCCAGGCCGAGAGAACGGGGTAAGGGTGGAGGGTGCCCTGATGGGGGCAGGTTCCCTCCCTGTGGTCCTCCTCCCTCGCTCCCTCCCTCGGCTCATCCATCTCCAGAAGATTATATTTAAATATCTCTTTTGTGCAAGGCAGGAGCTGGGCTCGCCCCTAAGAGGCAGTTTCCATGGCAACAACAATTGCCAGCTTCCGTGTGGTGAATCAGTGTTGCCATGGCAACCCCATCCTCATCTGCCCAAGGTGCTGGGAGGGGGGAGGAGGTGAGGGCCAGCGGAGGCGGGTGGGAGAGGTGCGGGAGAGGGAGACTGGAGCCCAGGTGCCCCCTCCCTCACATCTCCCTTCACCACTTCAGTCTGCCCTCAGCCCAGAAGCTGGTCCCATCTGGTTGAAATAATCTCTCCTCAGGCCTCCAGCTAGGGGGGGTGTGGTACCCAGGTGAAGAGGGTCCGAGATGTGTGTGCGCGTGCACATGAGTGTGTGTGTGTGTGTGTGTGTGTGTGTGTGTGTGTGTGTGGTGGGGGAAGGGAGATGTTGTTAGACCTTTCCCAGGTGGTCAGGGTCCCTCTGAGGGTGTGGTTGGGTGGCAAGAGGATTGCACTGGGGGAGTTGGGGGCCAAGATGGGGAAATAGAAACCCCTTGAGTTCTGGGGCTCCCAAGGCTGAGTTCACATTGAGGAGGCCCAAATATGCTTCAAACACACACTTGAAATGGGGGAGCATATCAGATGGGGGGGCCCACCGGGGGGAGGGGAGTAGAAAAATACCTCTCCAGGCCTTGATTTTGACATCTGTAAAAAACAGGGTAAAAATTGTGCCTCTCTCTCTAAAAACTTGCCGGGCAGGTGTGTTGTGATTAGAAAACACTTGCCAAGTATCATCAAGTACCTCCGAATGGTTGTGGGGATCTACTCCAAGACTGACTTGGGAGGGGGGCTGGGACCAGCACTTGTTCTGATCCCAGGCCTGGTGGAGAGGGACCAGGCGCCTTTCTGTGATGGTGAGTGTTGACCACTTCCTTCTGGTCACTTCAGTTCAGCAAACTCTGATTCTCTCCTGTACCCTGCCCTGAAGGATGGGGAGTAATGTGATGGTCTCAGTCTGGAGGGAAACAGAAACATGGAGACATCTCTTGCCCTGAGGCAGAGAGAAGAAGGGGCCCCAAGAGGTGGAAGGGTTGCCTGCATGGGGGCTTTTGAACTGGGATGAACAGTTTACCAGAGACACCAGGTTGGGAAGAAGATTCTTTCCTAGAGCCAAGAGAGAAGTAAATGCCACCCAACCCCACATCCCTCAAGTTGGTTCTGAAATACTTGCATTAGTTCATACCCAGGGCTGGGTAAGTTGCAGGAGCGGGAGTTAGGGAAGAATTTCTTCCACCAAATAGTTCATTGGTTTCTTCCAGTTTCAGTGCTGGGGGGTGGTGGACAGAAGTGTCCAGAACAATGAGGCCAGATTGAAGGCTGGTCCATTCAAGTATGACAGTTCCCCTGACTTGTGGCTCAGGGAGCTGGCTAAAAGTAGCTGCCTTGGTGTGCCAGTCAGCTGATGCTGAGTAATAAACTGCCTCAACTATTTTCTTTACTCATGATTTCATGGGTTGGCAAGCCTAGGGTGGGCTTAACTGGACAATTTGGCTGATTCGTCCTGAGTCATTCATGCAGCTGTAGTCAATTGGGGCTTGACTGGGGTTAACTGGGCTGGGACCCCCATGAGCTGTCTGCAGGGCATCTCTGTGCATGAGATCTCATATCCTCCAGTGAGTCACCCAGAATGTCCACCCTGAAATCTCCAGGGTTCCAAGATGGCCAAGTCTCTTGAGGCCAAGGCTTGGAAATCCCACTACTTCACTTCCACTATATTCTATTGGTCAAAACAAGTTTCATGGCCAAGTCCAGATAGAAGAGGTAAAGAAATAGACTCCAGTTCTCAATGAGAGGAGCCACAGTGTCCCATCATATACAGGGACCACAGGAGTTGTGCCATCTTGGCAAGCAATCTATCACACTTGGGGGTGGTGCGGCAGGGAGACTTCCTGGATGAAGGGGTATTGTTCCTGGGTTTTGAAGGCAAAGTAGGAGTTTTCTAGGTAGCAAGAGTAAAGCCCTGGAGGTAGGACCATGTGTTATTGGGTGTGACTGAGGTGCTGGTTGCTGCCAGAAGCTGGTGGGATGCTGAGGCTGGGGAAGTGGGCAGGAGTGCCTGGCAGGGCTCAGATGAAGCTCCCACCACACTACCCCCACTGTCCACCTTGACCTCCCTCCCCTTCTCTTCACAGATGGCGCGGCCAATCCAGGTGAAGCCTGCGGACAGCGAAAGCCGTGGAGGTAGTTGTCATCTCTCCATGGCTGCTAGGCTGTGGGTTGATGGAGGAATGGGAGGAGGGAAATCCTTGCACAAAAGGTGGTGGGAGAGACAGAGGCCCCCGCGGGGGTGGGGCAAGGTGGTAGAGAAGGAAGGCATGGGTCCCTCCTCCTAACCACAGGGCCACAGGCCCAGCTGTGGAGGGTATGGCCAGGCCCTGCTCCTTTCCCCTAGAACTTGAAATACCTGATTTGTTTCATGTTGCAATGATGGATATCTTCAGATGCAGAGGCACTGGGGGTCCCCAAAGGACTATGGATTGCTTTCTGGGTTGTGTGTGTGCACAATTGGATATATGAGCCAGTGCATATGTGTATGTGAGCATGCATTCCTGGGCATGCCTGTGTGCAGATGTGTATGGGTGTGTGCACATGGGCATGTGTTTTCTGGCTGGTTCAGTGCCCGTCTGTGTGCACATCTGTGTGCCTGGGCTGTGCATAGGTGCGTAGGTGTATATGTGCAAGCGTGTGAGCTTGACTGTTCTAGACTGGGAGTGTGGGCGTGCAGGCTCAGTCTTGTGTCTACATGAGGCTGGACCTCAGGGTGGGTGCGTGCCATCAGGAGATGCTTGACTGTCCCCCATGGGATCCAAGACTAGCCATTCTTAGATACTTTGACCCCTCCTCCCCATCTCAGATGGATTGCAGGCCTGAAGGAGAGCACTCAATCTTGGAGATGGTGTGTGGGGCAGGGCTGTTAGGACCTCTGTGTATGCATAGGAGCGTGGTAAAGCCCATCTGGGCTGGGAGCCCGTTTTCACACTCTCAACCTGGCTTCCAGTGGGGGTCAGGGATTGGAGAGGGGACTCTGCATGTTTTCATCTCTGTCTCTCTTTGTCTCTCTCTCATTCTCTCTCTCCCTCTCCCTCCATCTGTTTCTCTCTCATCTTTTTCTCTCCTCCTATCTCTCTGGTTCTCTCTGAGCCTCTCTGTGTCTCTCTTTGTCTCTTTCGGTTTCTCTTTGCCTATCTCTGTCTCTTGGTCTCTCCCTGTCCCTCTCTCTCCCTCCCACTCCCATGAATGACAGCTGCCAGAGAACGGGTTTCCATAGCAACCCAACTCACCATTCCTCAGAGGAAGCTGCCTGGTCCCTGATTACAGGGGAGCAGCGCAACTCCCCCGGGAGGCGGGGCAAGGCTCTAGTCCCTCACATGGGAGAGGCTGGGCCAGACTGGCACCTGGCCTTAGGCTTGGGCAGGTCCCAGCCAGGCTTCCAGCCAGTCCCAGGCTCCCCAGATACCTGGTCTGCACACACATGCCTTTATTCATTCATCAGACATTGATTTTTGGCTTCTCCGGAGCCCTGGGAAAGTCCAATGGGGAGCTCTGCTGGGCACTGTGAGAATGCAGGCGCCCCCAGTGCTCACCCCTGCCTAGAAAATTTAGATGGCAGACAGACATGGACCAAGGCCAGGCAAGGCATAGACGCTAGTACTGTGTCTGGGCTTTCTGAAGAACTCAGAGAGGTGGGAGGAGCCCAGAGGTGCGAGTAGACGTTTTGCCCAGAATGGGGAGCGGTTGGGCAGAGAGGGCCTTCTAGGCAGAGGGCACTGGATGAGGTGGGAGGCCTCAGGCACGTGGGCGGATGAGAAACACAGGCAGGGAAAGCGCAAGGCTGCGTCCTCCTTCACACGCGCAGAAGAGGGCCCCCGGGAGGCCCAGGGGCCCAGCTCCAAGCCCCGGTGCCTCCGCTTTCTGCTGGAGGGATGCGGGAAGTTCCCCGAGGCTAGGACTTGGCTGAGGTGGTGTCTCCCCCCACAGGGGACCGGAAGCTGTTTGTGGGGATGCTGAACAAGCAGCAGTCAGAGGAGGACGTGCTGCGGCTGTTCCAGCCCTTCGGGGTCATCGACGAGTGCACCGTGCTGCGGGGACCCGACGGCAGCAGCAAAGGTGACCGGCTAGGGGCGGGACTAGCTCCGGGGGCGGGACTAGCTCCGGGGGCAGGACTATAGGAGGGCGTGGCTGGTGGGATGGACGGCGCGGGCCTAGGAGAGGGAGGCTGGATCCAGGGGGCGGGGCTGGGCTTGTGGGGAGGGACTGGCCCACAGTGGGCGTGGCCTGTCACGTGGAGAGCGGGCGGGAGGGATGGGGTTACTCTAGGCAAGAGGGCGGGGCTGGCCCAGGGGGCGGGGCGAGCAGAGGCTGTCTAGTCTCACCTGGTCCCACCCGCCGGCCCAGGACCGTCTGGGGCTACCTTCCTGTGTCTGTGTCCATCAGACTGTTTCTGTCTGGATTTGCCTGTGCTTCCTGGACTGTCGGTCTACCTGATCTTACTTACTCCACTGTTCCTATAAGGTTGTACCATCCAGGAATGATTGTTTTATGATCTTCAGCAACTTGTTTTCTGGTCTGCTCTGTTTGGGTCTTCAGGTGTCTGGTGATCTCTGTCTACCTGATTCTACTTGTTCAGGTTTATCTGTCCAGAACTGGCCTGTCTCTGCCCGTGTGACTTTATCTTACTAGGATGGTCCCTGTCTATTTATTTGCCTGGCTCTTTTCTAAAAATTGAGATATGATCCCATACTGTAATCACATACTGCCAATGCAGGAGACACAAGAGATGTAAGTTTGATCCATGAGTCAGGAAGATCCCCTGGAGGGGGAAATGACAACCCACTCCAGTATTCTTGCCTGGGAAATCCCATGGACAGAGGAGCCTGGCAGGCTACAGTACAGGGTGTCACAAAGAGTTGGACAAGACTGAGTACACACACACACACTGTAAAATTCACCTTGTAAAAGTGGACAGTGGAAAAAAAAGTGGACAGGGAAATGCTTCACAAAATTCACAGAACTGTGCAACTATCATCATTATTGAATTCCAGAACATCTTCACTCCTCTCCTCCAAATTTGTGTGACCTTTCCATAGCCCTCTGTCTGGAACTGTATCCTGTGACCATCTGTCTGGATCTGCCTGTGTCTACTGGTCTCTGGTTGTCTGTCTGCCTGATTCTGCCCTTGCCCAATGACTCTTCATCCCCATCTATCCAACTCTGGTCACATGGATGTATCCATCTGGGTCTGAGTGTAACTCTGCCCGGGTGTGTCCACATCTCTCTCTGTGTCTGATGATTTGTCACTTTAATTCTGCCTATCTGATTACAACTCTGGATCTCGTGGTATTGGTGGCTGGTGGGTGTTCTCTAATCCTGTCCCCTTCACTTGTTCTAATGGGCAGTTCCTGCCTCCCTACCCTGGGCACCACCTCACACCCTCTGATGATGTGTTGGACAAACAGTTGTCTTACTGTCTGATTCTTTGTTGTCCCACTGTCTGTCTGAACCTATGGCTGCCTGTCTCTGTTGTCCGACCTGTGGGCTGCCCATGTCCATGCTGACCTACTGTGCAGGGCTGCCAGCCCCTCTCCTGTGTCCCCTCACTGCTCCCCTTCTCTCGGAGCAGGCTGTGCCTTCGTGAAGTTCTCCTCCCACACCGAGGCTCAGGCGGCCATCCATGCCCTGCACGGCAGCCAGACCATGCCGGTGAGTCAGAGTTGTCCTGGGCAATTTGGGTCAGGGTAGGCAAGGGGGAGGGGCCTGGCCTGACCATCCCAGCCATCTGGTAACCCCTGGCCCTTCTTCAGAGAGGGGACAGGGTGGGGAGAAAGAAGTGCATCTCTGATGATGGAATGACTGGGTGTATGTATGTACTTGTATGTGTGTGTGCATGCAAGTGTAGACTATGCAGAATGTCTTGCCAGTGTTTGGCTGCCCATGTGTGAGTATGTGTGGGCCAGTGTGTGTGTTGGTGTGCACACGTGTGCATGTGCCTGAGAGTGTGCTTCCATGCCTGTATGTGAGTGTGTGGTTGTGAGTAGGTGGGTGTCAGTGGGCACACGAAGTGTGTGCAAATGGATATATGTTCACGTGTATGCTGATGCATATGTATGCATGTACGCTCTGACTGCATGCATGCAAGTGTGTTGAGTGGGTGTGTTCATGTGAGTGCACACATGTAAGTCATATAGGTAAGTGCACATGTGTGTTTGTGTGTGAGTGTGCCCCAGTGATATGGGAGGAATGAGTGCATGTGTGTGCATTTGTAAGAGTGAGTGTATGTGAAGGGGTGAGCACATGTGTGTGAATGTAGACAAATGTGTGTGTGTGTGTGTGTGTGTGCAGAAATGTGTGAGAGTATATGTGCATGTATTGTGAGTGTATACATGTGTGTGAGTGTGGATGGTGAATGTGAGTCGCTGTGGGTGGAATGCATGTGTGTGTGATGTGTGTGAGCCCCAGAGGAACAGGAAGGGATGGGGCTGGAGGGGCCTGCAGTTCAAGGCCAAGAAGCTTGGGATTCCTCCCAGGGCAATGGGGAGCCCCCCAGGGTTTCCCCAGGAAAAGGGAGGGGCCAGTGTGGGAGATAGGCAGGTGCCAAGTCTAGAGCTGGGAACTGGTGGGCCTGAAGCCATGAGAGGCTGGAGGAGACCACTCGGGTGTTGGAGGTGGCCCTGCCACCCAGAAAAGTGACCCTGGGAGCCTCCATCACTGTACAAAAATGTCTAAATCTGCCGCAAGGAAGACAGGCCTTGGGGAACCCACTCTCCTTTCTGTTGTTCTGCAACATGATGTGAAGAGCAGGGCAGTCTTAGATCCTCCCTTCTCTTGCTCTCTGGGTCATTGGGCATCAGTTCTAGTCCCTGGAGAGGGAGGAATCAACTCAATCCAAGGTCAGGCTTTCTCCTGCTCAGAACTGTCCACTGATGAAGCTGGTGAGTGGAGAGGTAGTGAGCTCCCCATCAAAGGAGGTATTCAATTTCTCAAATGATTGGAGCCTCACCTGTTCTCAGGTATGGGCAGCTATAGAATCCTCTGTATGGGCCTTCATTGTTCCTTTCCAGCACTTGGGTTCTCCATCTTTTTTTAAAGTATTGCTGACAATCAGATCCTCCTCTGCTTCCCAGAGGCAGCCCCCACTGGGCCTGGGTGCCCCACTTGTGTGCATGTCAGCCTACAAGGTCAAGTGTGAGACCCAGGATGCTGATCTCCAGACTATCCTCACTGTGGCCCCTGGGACCTTGAGGGAGGGACTGATAGTCGCTACCACCCACACCCCTACACTCCCCCCCCAGGTACCTCAGAGTCCTGGCAATGTCCCCCTTCTTTCCCTCCCTGCTTGCGGCTGCCCTTGCAGGGTGCCTCCTCCAGCCTGGTGGTCAAGTTTGCTGACACGGACAAGGAGCGGACGCTGAGGCGCATGCAGCAGATGGTGGGCCAGCTGGGCATCCTGACTCCATCCCTCACCCTGCCCTTCAGCCCCTACAGTGCCTACGCCCAGGCTGTGAGTGACCGGCGGACACACTCCTGTCTCCGGCGGGGCTCCTGACACTGCTGTCTTGAGGGCCCAGCTCAGTGTCTCTCTCTCTTTCTCTATCTAGTCTCTGTCGAGTGCCTCTGCCTCTTTGTCTATCTTTATGTTTCTCTTGCCCAGTCTCTGACTCATGGCCTTATTCTGGCTATGGCTAAGTCCCCAGATCCAGTCCACTTCCTGATCTCAACCCCAGCTTAGCCCCCCACCATGAACTATGCTCTGAGCCCAAGCTGAACCCCAGCTGACAGGACCCCAGGCTCAGCCACCAAATCCAGCCTGAGCCACAACCCTGGGCGAATATCAAATCAAGACCCAGTCTTGGGTTGACCCCCCAGATCCTGGCTGTTCCCCAAATCTAGATAAGCCCCAATTCTAGCTAAACCTCCAGGCTGACTCCAAACTGAGACCCAGCCCTGAGTGAGTTCAACATTGGCTGGGCTTGGGACTTCCCTGGCAGTCCTGCCGTTAAGACTCCATGCCTCCAATGCAGGGTGGGCAGGTTCGATCCCACATGCCATATGCATAGCACAACCCAAACAAACAGAACACATAAAAAAACATTGGCTGAGCCCTGGTCCCAGACTAAATTCTGATCATAGACTGAGCTCCAGTTCCTGGCTGAGCTCTGATTCCTAAATGATCCTTGAATATAGTCTGATCCCTGATCCTATGCTAAGCCTTGATCCCGGGCTGAGCCCCAGTTCCTAACTGATCCCTAACCTGACCTGAGCCAAGATACCTGGCCTGACCCCCTGCCCCCGTTTCTGGAGGACTGGCCCCCAAACCCCATGAGCCATGATCTAAGGCCAGGTGCCACTTGGACTGTGTACCTGACTCCCTCTCCACCCCCAGCTCATGCAGCAGCAGACAACGGTCCTGTCCACATCAGGCAGCTACCTGAGCCCCGGCGTGGCCTTCTCACCCTGCCACATCCAGCAGATTGGCGCTGTCAGCCTTAACGGGCTGCCTGCCACGCCCATCGCCCCTGCCTCTGGTGAGAGTCTGCCAGGGGCCCACAGATGGGGGGCAGAGCCGGGGCTATGACTCAGCCTTAGCTGGGGCTAAGGCTCCCCATGATGCTCTTCCACTCCCCAGGACTGCATTCGCCCCCGCTGCTCGGCACTGCCACCGTGCCCGGCCTCGTGGCCCCCATCACCAATGGCTTCGCAGGTGTCGTGCCCTTCCCTGGTGGGCACCCTGCCCTAGAAACCGTATATGCCAATGGCCTTGTGCCCTACCCAGGTAACTCGGGTGGTCCCCTGGGGCTGAGGAGAGTGGCAAGGGGCAGGGAGGGTGTCCCTGGGACAAGCATGAATCCCTTTGCCTTGGTGTCCAGGGAACAAAACTACAGGAAGCAGGGAATCTTAGGTTAATAGATACTAGCTATGGGTGCAGAGGGGCTTCCCTGGTAGTTCAGCTGGTAAAGAATCCACCTGCAATGCAGGAGACCCCAGTTTGATTCCTGAGTCAGGAAGATCCCCTGGAGAAGGGATAGACTACCCACTCCAGTATTCATGGGCTTCCCTGGTGGCTCAGACAGTAAAGAATCCACCTGCAATGCAGGAGACCTGGATTCAATCCCTGGGTTGGGAAGATCCCCTGGAGGAGGGCATGGCAATCCACTCCAGTATTCTTGCCTGGAGAATCCCCATGGACAAAGGAGCCTAGAGAGCTACAATCCATGGGGTTGCACAGAGTCAGACACGACTGAGCGACTAAGCATACACACACACATGGGCACAGAGAAGAGGGTTAAACATAGGAAGTTTGCAGTCAGACCTTCCTGGCTTCAAATTCTAATTCAGTGGCCCTTATGGGTAGCTTCTTTACATCTCTGAGCCTCAGTTTGCTCATCTGGAAAATGGGACAGATAGTATCATTCATCTCATGATGTTAGTCTGTAAGATGTTAACCTATCTCCTGGTACCAAGAAGGGTGCCATCAATCTTCACTATTAATCGTTACCATTTGGAATCAGTGCCCATATTCATTCATTCATTCATCCAGGACTGACCATGCACTGATTTGTTGCACTGGACTCTGCCCTACTGAAGCAGAGGTCTCACCTTTCTCTACCCTAGCTATACCCTGATTTCAAGGTAAACGTCTTCCCACACCTGGCTTAGGTGAAGTTTGTCATCTGGGTTTCCACCGCTGAGAATCTGTTTATTTTTATTTTGCAATAATTGGCGCTCACAGGGAGTTTCAAACATAGCACAGAGAGGCCCTGGTTACCCCTCACCCAGTGTCTCCGGATGCTAACATCTTACATAACAACAGTATGTTGTCAAAACTAGGAAACTGGCATCAGTACAGTATAATGAACTGAACAGGTGTTGGAGACCCTGTTCAGACTTCACTATTTACAGGCACTTGTGTGTGTGTGTGGTTCGTTCATTTTATGTCATTTCATCACAGGTATAGTTTTGTGTAACCACCACCACAATCAACATACAGCACCATTCCATTACCATGAAGTAATTCATTCATGTGACCCTTTTACTGGCTTATCTCTCTGCCCTCACTACCCCATCTTCTAACAACCTCTCTCCATTCAAGGAGATTTTTAGTTGCCTCAACAAGCCCTCTCCTCCCCATGTGTCCTCCACTAGGGACTGTCGGAAGGTCACAGTCACATAAGGGATCCATAGGCTGTCTGATGATCAACGTGAGGGGAGGGAAAAGGGGGAAGAGATGTGAATGGGTGGTGATCAAGAGCAGAGACCTGGAGCCCTAGAGAATCCAGAGAAAAAAGGGGGAGGAGCAAGGGGGTCTGGACGGGGACGAAGAGTTGGGAGTTAAATCTCTCTGGAGTCTGAGAAAACTAGATTTGAGTTGAGTGGCCCTGTGCCAGCTGCTGTTTTCCCACCTGTAAGAGGTTCCCTGAGCTTCAGTTTTCCTCACCTGTGGAATGAGGGTCATACCTGTAAAATGTTTGTGCAGAAATGAAGCCGGGGTGGATGCTGTGGGGTGGATGGAAGACTTCTGCTGCCCCCCGCCCCACTGAGCCCCTCCGTCTGCCCCGCAGCTCAGAGTCCGACGGTAGCCGAGACCCTCCATCCTGCCTTCTCTGGAGTCCAGCAGTACACAGGTAGGGAGGCAGTGCGGCGCCCCCCCCAACGCGGGGCACCCCCACCCCCCGGCCCTCAGTTTCCGACCTGGGCTAGCCACTCCACGCCCCTAGCCGCACTTAGATCTGGTTCCACCCCTCAGGGCCGCCCTCTCATTCTACCTTCCCTCTTCTGTCTAGCCATACCACCTACTTTGTGGCTTGGCCCCCGCCTCACCCTCCGACTTTTGGCCCTGCCCCTCATAACCGGCTTATGGTCCCGCTTGTCTTGTCCTGCTCAGACCCGCTCTCCAATGTGACCACGCCCCCTCATTCTTCCCAAGACCGAGCATTGGCTCCGCCCTCAGCCATGGCCACACCCCTAAAATATGGCCCCGCCCCATTAAACACTTCCCTCCCTCATACATCTCTCCCATGTCACCACGCCCCTCTGCCTTCCCCAAACGTGCCTTCCCACCCTCAGCCACAACCACGCCCTCTCTGCTCTTTCCAATGGCCTTGGCCCCGCCCTCAGACTGTCTCTCCCATGTGACCACGTCCCCTCCTTTCTAAAATCTGGCCTTGGCTCTGCCCTCAGCCATGGCCCCACCCTTTCCCTTCTGCTCTTCTCTGTTGTCTTAGTACTTCCCCTCAGAACAACTCTCCCCTGTGACCACGCCCCTCCACCGTCCCAAGACCCGTCTTGGCCCCACCCTAGGCTGTGACCCCGCCCCTCAGTCTTAGCCCCGCCCCACGTGCCCACCGGCCTCACGCCCGCTCCGCCCTGTGTCTCGCTCCTGGTCTCTGCAGCCATGTACCCCACCGCGGCCATCACGCCCATCGCGCACAGCGTCCCCCAGCCGCCGCCCCTCCTGCAGCAGCAGCAGCGAGAAGGTGAGGGGGCCGCGACCTCCCCTGGGCGTCAGCCCCGCCCTTTGACCGCCCCCCTCCACCTCCAGGACCTCCTGCCCAGGCTGGCCTGGCCTCGGGGAACCGTTCGGCCTGAGGTCCGGAGAGACGTGTGTTCAGTTCCCGGCATCACCTGGGTGTTTGGGAGGCAACTGAGCCTCCGTCTTCTCCGGAAAGTGGGAACCGGGCTAGTCCCGACCCCATAGGGATAGCAGTGACCCTGTCCCCACCAGGAGCTCTCTCCAGAATGGAATGACTTTTTTTGAGTTTGAGCTCAGGGGGTGGGGTGATGAGGTATCTCTGGTGAGATGAAGCTTCCTCAGTAAAGTCAAGTGGGAGAGGAGTTAGATTCTGGAGTCGGACCGCGGGGATTCAAATCCACCTAGTGCTGACTTGAGGCATCGTCAGGAAGGCACCTCCCTGCCGCTTGCCTTGTCACACAGCAGCCACACAGCGACCACCCGTGCCACGGGGCCTTGCTGGGCAGTGAGCCCCACGGCTCCTGACACATAGTAGGCACTCAGCCTGGGAGGCTTTTCCCCACCTTAATCCATCTAGTGGGGGTGGGGGTGGGGGTGGGGGGTTGCTGGAGCCAGGCAACCAGCCAGAAAAGTCTCCCGACACCCCCAGGACTTGGGAAGTTTATGGATGGCCTGGCCTGTAGACTGAGTTCTGTGAGGTTCTGTTCAATTCCTTGCCCAGCAGGGTGCTGTGGGTAAAAGCTGGTTCCGATGCCGTCGGTGCTGCTGTAACAGGACAGGATATCTGCTTTCTGGAAAGTCACCCGAGTTGCAGAGCCTTACAATACCAACTACAAGGCTCATGGGGGAAGTTGGGTCCGGGTACACCACTCAAAATGTTGGCTGTGGGAGTTCTCTGGCTGCCCAGTGGTTAAGACTCCGTGCATCCCCTACAGGGGCACAAGTTCAATCCCTGGTTGAGAAACTTAAGATACCTCATGCAGTCCTCGTGTGGCCAAAATTTTTTTTTTTAGAAGTTGGCTGTGACATGGCAAAAAAAAAAAAGATAAGACCCTAATAAAAATGGTAGCACAGTTTTATGCATGTTAGGTGATTAAGAAATTCATGAATAGTATAATAAATTGGGCATTAGAAGTTTGCACAGGGAAGTGGTGTCAGATGGGTTGTAGCATGTGAGTTACCATGAAGTAATGGAAAGCTTCGTCTGAAATCAGACAGAGAGTCAGAACTTCAGACGGGGACAGGTCCTCCTCCTAATACACTTGGAGAACTGAGAAAGCTGATGAATGTTGAAGCTGCGTTTGCATATGTGTGTGCATTTTGCTTTCTTATGAGGTTCAGTTCAGCTAGGTGTGGTTTTCTGCCTTCACCTAGTATTTCTTGGAGTTGAGGTAGCACACAAGCAAACACAAACTTCATGTTTGCTCACAATTGTTCTGTAACATATCAGTTGTGTGGAAACACACCACTTTAAAAACAAGCACGTTAGGGAATTCCCTAGAGGTCCACTGATTAGGACTCGGCGCTTACACTGCCGTGACCCCGAGTTCAATCCCTGGGCAAGGAACTAAATTCAGGCAAACCTTGCGACATGGCCAGACAAATAATCAAACAACAACAGCAAACAAGCACATTAGCAGAACTGTGGTCCTCATCAGGAAGGTAAGGGTGGATGTGAATGTGTAATCTTGAATTTTGTATTTTCTGGGGTGGGAAATGTTCATTGCGAGTGTTGGGATTTCTTGGTGGTTTGAGGGTTACCTTTGTTTGGGGGGACCTGGGAGAAGATCATCTGTAGGTTAGAGATTAGCAGCAAGTTTGAGGACTAAACTGGGTAATCAGTGTTTTAAAATGGTATTATTATTTATAATTCTTATATAAGCCATCATGCACTGGGGATTCTTTGGGAAGGAATGATTCTGACGGTTAGCTGAACTTTAAAAAATTATTTCTGGTTGGTATAGCACCATTTAAACATGACCAGTGGTTTCAGGATATCTGAGATTCGGGAATGGAGAATAATCTTTTATTTCCCTATGTTTTATTTTTGCATCAGTTTTGAAATTATCCAAGCTTTTAAAATTAGCCAAGGTTTGGAGGGTTATCCAAGGTTTTGAAAATTATCTGGATGTTTGGGGTTTGGGACCAGGGAGTTACTCTTCTTATTCTAATCTGTGATCATTAGACTTTCAAAAATGAACCTTTCCATTTAAACCAGTTTTAGTTTTATGGAGTGATAGCAAAGACAGTACAGAGTTTCTGTTATACCCTACGACCAGTTCATCTGATTTCTGTCAATGACCAGGAGTTTGAGGTTTAGGAGTTTTCTGGGGGGTGTTGAAGTTGTCTGGGAGTTTTGGATTATCTGCAGTTTGGGATGAAAGGCTTTATTTCAGTTTGGGGGGCTAGGGATCATCTAAAGTTTGTCAGTTCTCTGGGGCCTGAGGATCAGCAGAGGTTTGGAGCGTCTGAATGTGGGATTTTATAGACAAGGGCTCAGGGCACCCTGCCTCCCCTCCCCGCTGTTTCCATGCCCCTTCTTTCTGGGTGTTAGGGTGCACCCCTCCCCCAATAGCTGGAGACACCAGCTGTGGGCTCCGGACCCGTGCCCCTCCCCCGGGGGTCGGCCTCCTCTCCTTGGGGGCTTTATGTCTTTCTCTCCCCCCACCTGCAGGTCCCGAAGGCTGTAACCTGTTTATCTACCACCTCCCCCAGGAGTTTGGAGACACGGAGCTGACGCAGATGTTCCTGCCTTTCGGCAATATCATCTCCTCCAAGGTGTTTATGGATCGGGCCACCAACCAGAGCAAATGTTTTGGTGAGTCCTTGCTGTGGGCACCCCTTCCTGCTTGATGCTCCCCAAACCGCAGGCCCCTCGCCCTGGAGGGGGGGGGATGTGGTCAGCCATGAGACAGGTCTGGTCTGAGAGAAACACATTTGGGGGCTTCCCTGAAGGTCCAGTGGTTAGGACTCTAAGCTTTCACTGCTGAGGGCCTGGGTTTAATCCCTGGTTGAGGAAGGAAGATCCCACAAGCCGTGCAGCAGGGTCAAGGGAAAAAACAAAGAATCACATTTATGATCAGAACAAGTACTTATTAAGTACCTACTGTGTACCCAGCACTTAGCATGAGTCATTTCTAAGATTCCCTTGTTCATTCATTCATTCATTCAGCAAATAGACATATAGGGGCTTCCCTGGTGGTTCAGTGGTTAAGAGTTCGAGGTTTCACTGTGTGTGGGGGGCGGGGCACAGGTTTGATCCCTGGTGGGGGAACTAGGATCCCACGTGCCACAAGGTGTTGCCAATAAATAAATAAATAACACAAGCCCTATATAAGATTAAATAAAAAAAAAAAACCCAAATAGACATACAGTGCACCTACTGTGTGCTGGTGCCCAGCACAGTTCCTGGCACAGATTGGTGAAGGAAGCCAACAAAAATCACTGCCCTCTGAGAGCTCACGGCCCTGCTACCCTGTCTATAGAACTTTCTCTGAGGAGTTCTATATCCCCACTGTCTGAGCCATCCACCCCATATGACTGCTGAGCATTTGAAGTGTGGCTAGTGTGGCCAAAGCACTGAATTTTTTATTTTACTTAATTTTAATGAATTTCAATTTCAATAACAACTTATGGCCAGTGGCTACCAACTGAATTGGAAAGCACAGGTCCAGGGGGAGGAGGTGGAAATAAACAAGCAAGAATACTGGAGTGGGGTGCCATTCTCTTCTCCAGGGGATCTTCTCGACCCAGGGATGGAACCTGAGTCTTCTGCATTGCAGGCAGATTGTTTACTGTCTGAGCCACCAGGAAAGCCCAGGATATAGGCCAGGGAGTTATAAATGGTATAGAGAAAAACAAAACTGGTAAGAAGATACAGACTGATAGGAGGAGGCAGTGCTTCAACTGAGGCCTGAATGATGAGGAGCCAATCATAGGAGTGTCTAGAGGAAGAGTGTTCTAGGCAGAGAGAACCATATGTTCAAAGGCCCTGGGGCAGGACAGGGCCTGCTGCATTGGAGGAACAGTGAGGAGGCCCGAGTGTCTGAAGCAAAGTGAGCCAGGAGGAGAGAGGAAGGAGAGAAAGGCAGGGAGGGGAAGGGCAGGTCATGAAGGGCCTTGTGGGACATGGGGAGGACTTCCTTGTTCCCAGACACAGAGGATATTAAGGCTCAGAGATGTGTAACTTGCCCAAAGTCACAGGCAAGAACCTAAATTCGATACAATCTGTTTGACTTCAAAATCTGGACTCTGAACCCCACCCTGTCCTCTGGGAATGGCTGATTCTTGACTGTTTATTAAGCTCCTGCTGTTTAGTCACTAAGTTGTGTCCAATTCTTTGCTGCCCCATGGGCTGTATACCGCCAGGCTCCTCTGTCCATGGGTTTCCCAGGCAAGAATACTGAAGTGGGTTACCATTCCCTTTTCCAGGGGATCTTCCAGACCCAGGGATCAAACCCAGGTTTCCCACATTGGCAGGCAGATTCTTCACCACTGAGCCACCTGGGAAGCCCTGCTATATATACTCATTATCCAACCATAAAAGGGAAGAATTGTCTCCATTTACATGGGGAGGAAGGAGAGGAACAGAATGGTCAAACAACATGCTTGAGGTCACACAGCAAGTTAGGAACAACACCCCCCACCAACCCAGTACCCAGCCCCCTTGCTCCCACATCCTGCTTCTCAGTTCAGTTCAGTCACTCAGTCATGTCAGACTCTTTGCAACCCCATGGACTGCAGCACACCAGGTTTCCCTGTCCATCACCAACTCCCAGAGCTTGCTCAAACTTATGTCCATCAAGTTGGTGATGCCATCCAACCATCTCATCCTCTGTCGTCCCCTTCTCCTCCTGCCTTCAATCTTTCCCAGCATCAGGGTCTTTTCAAATGAGTCAG